GCGGGCACCAGGGTCTGGGAGCCCCACGTGTCTCGGCGGCATTCGCCCCGAGTCCGGGCCAGGACCTCACCAGGGTTTCAAGCGCAGTGACGCGGCCCGACTCGCAGCCCACAGATCCCTCTGCTGGAGCCGCCGCTGGTCCCCGAGGGGCAGCGGCCATCTGGGACGGCAAGCGGCTCAGCGGGAGCTGGGCGCAGTGGGACGGTCAGCGGGCGCGACGCGCACCTGGCAAGCTTGGACAGAAGGAACCGTGCAATTAAGAAGCGATCAGAGCGCACCGGAGGACATGCTGCTCCGCTCCGCAGGGCCGTGTGCGCGCTGCGCGGAGACTGCAGCGGACACCTGTGCGCCGGGCAGCCGGGGCCGGCCAGCCCGCGCCGACGGGCCTCTCTAGGGGCCTTGGGGTAACTGAGTTCCTCACCCGCCTGAAAACCTCGTTGTCATGGAAATGCCCTTTGTTCAGGGTCTGCAACTGGGACCCAATAACAACTCTCAAATACATGCTTTCACGGCAACAGTATGTTTTAAAACACAAATTCAGCAAAAGCACATGAATTTATTTATGTATTTGTTTGGTCTTTTGAGACAGGGTAGCGCAGGCTGGCTTCGAACTCGTGGCGAGCCTCCTGCCTCAGCCTGCCGAGGGCTGGGACTATATGTGTGCGTCACCACGCCGGGCTAAAGGCACACGAATTTAAAGGGAAAAAAATTAAGTAAACAGAAGCGAAGTGGTGCCAGGCGCCCAGAGTGGGAACGCCGCAGCCCGGCCGCTCCCCGCGTCAGACACCCGGCCCGGGCTCGGCCCCGGCGGGGGAGGAGCGAGGGCGGAGCGCGGCCTTCCGGGCCCCGAGGCCAGCGAGGAGGCGCTGCCGAACCTCCCCGCCCGCCCAAGGCCTGGGGAGCCCGCGCGCTCAGCGCGGAAGCTCCGCGCCGCTCCTTCATCCGGGTGACCGCGGTTCGAGACTTCGGCCCGCCCAGTTTCCTCTTTTGGGAACCGCGGAGGCCGAGGCGGGCAATGTGGGACGGGGTGCGCGAGGACGGCTGCGGACGGCAGGGCCGGCGGGAGCCTCTGCGCGGGACCACTGCCCCATAGCCGTGCTTGGACCCGCCGCAGCGCCCCGACTCTCGCGCGTTCTAAAACGAGGACAAAGCCCGCCCGGATCTAGAGCGCGCGCGCCGTCGGGACCAATAGGAAACCGGCGCTAGATTGAGTGACGTATGTAGGCCGCCAATCAACACACACCTTGTTGCGAGGTGCGCCCGGCTCCGGCATTATAAAGAGCGCCACGAGTCGGCATTGTCAAGCGGCGGCAGCGCGCGGGCCGGAGCCAGGCGGCGGGTGGTGGGTTCTGTGCGGCGGCGGTCGAGCGGGGAACTCGGCCGGAGCGGCTCCGTCGGCAGACGGAGGCGAGGTCCGGGCAGCG